GCGGCCCCTGACTTTGGAGTGGAGCTTGGCTATGAGCTTGGCGGGCAAGTCTCACGTTCACGGAGCAAATAACATGCAAAAACCTGTCAAAGTGCGCTCCTAATTCCACGTGCGCGTAAAGAATTTCCAGAACCCCACCGACACAGTATCCCTATCATACTGGCGCAGAATGGCACAGACGTAGCCTGCTCTCATCATGCTCTAATCTGTTCCAAATCCAGAACTAGCGACTCTTGAGCTTCAAAAAGAACAAAGCGTTTTACAGTGTTTTACCAGGGATGCCGTGTCAAGATGTGTCGGTCAGGACGTACTCAGACCAGTATGAGTTACTATAGGATACTGTCTAGGAAAATCTAGGAAACGCTGCGCTGGGGCTGCACCCTTGCCCCAGGGGAACTCCGTGCGTTCGCGACGCTGTGCTGTCGACCCATCAGTCCCACCTGGCCATGGCAGCAGCTGCGCCGTCAGTCCAGCGACCGGCAGAGCATCCTCGCCGCACAGAGCTTTCCAGAGAGCAGGCAGTGCAAATCTGCAATGATGCTTTGAAGACTGCTTGCCAGCTGCAGTCGTGCATTCTCGTGGGGCAGTCTGCGTCCAGCTTGGAAGCTGCGCTGCACAAATGGTGGGAGACTGGTGGGCGCAAGCTGCTGTGCTCAGACGCCCAGCCCGAGGCTGAGGACATGGAGGGTGAGGAGGATGAGTGGCACCCGGACCAAGACAGTGTGGATCAGACGACCAATGCAGAGGCTGCTCGGGCATTGTCGTCGATGGAGCAACTTGCAGCGGGCCACATAGCGGCGGCCAGTCAAGCTGAAGATGGCGGCCAGATGGCGGCGGCGGGGAGCCCAGCGCACACGACCCCTGTGGAGGAAGAGGCCGACGGGCTGGAAGGGCCGCTGGCACCAACGAGCTCGGCGACCAGCCAGTCACAGTTCCGGCTTTGCGTGCAGCATGTGCTTGAGGCTGCCGGCCTCGCCGACTTCAAGCCGTGCGATGATGACGATGAGAAGAATTGCATCCGGAGGGCCCGCAAGCTTCTTCCACAGATGATGAAGTTTGTCGCTGAGGTCCGAGGCCTGGCATGAGTTATCTGGCACGCGGTGCTTTCTGGGATGTCTCGGGCTGATGCTGTGCTTTACAGCGGGCGTTGTTGGAATGTTGTTGGATGACCCTGGCCAGCCGCGGCCCCATTGCTCAAGGAGCGTGTGCACGCGTGTTGAAGTATGTTGAAGTTCAATTGAATTTCTGTGGAAACTGGGTTGCGCAGCTGCCTGGAAGTACTTGGCCAAAGCTGTTGGGGTAGTTCGCAGTTGCCAGATGCTGCAAGGCTTTGCAAGGCTGCATTTGTGATCACCAGGGTCCCGATATTTGGCAAGCCGCATTCTGTGTGCGTTTTTTGAGCTTCCTTTGAAGATCTTTGAAGCGTAAGGAAAGGCCGAGGGCTGGATTTCGGCCGCGCAAATCGACACACCGAGCACGCAGCTCTCTGCGCACAACCGCCTGGTGTCAGAGCTGGCGAGAGCCCGGCAGTCCCTGGCACTGAGCTCAGGCCGCCAGTCTCGCTTCAATTTGTGGGCTTCCTTCCAGCAAGCCGTGACTTCATGCGGGAGCAAGCTGGCCGAAAAAAAAACTCCAACGCAGCAGCGTCAGAGCCGCTTCAAGCTATCACGTCATTTCGGCCAAGCTGCGTCATGATGGACGACGCAGAAGGACACGCTGGGGCACGCCGCCGGCAGTACCAAATTGCGACGTGTCCGCACTGGTTTTGAGATCCTGTGGGGGCGTTTCAGGTATCTAGACCAGGACTTGCGCGATATTGCGTGATGGCTACAAGAAATCCAAGCGTTTTCTTTGACATGCTTTGACATTGCTTTGACGGCGATGCATGTCGGCCACCTGCTGGGACGATGGTAAGTTGTTGCTAAGCCTAGGCCACCCTAGGCCTGGCATCTAGATCCATCTAGGCATATCTAGGCAATCTAGGCCCTGCAGTATCATCCAGATATCACCCAGTATCCGTGTATAAAAGGCAGTTGCGTATACTTGCGTAATGTTGCATTTGTTGTTTTTTAATCTGAGCGCACGGCGGTCCCCAGGTGGTCGTGCGAAGGACTATCTTGGCGCAGCCAATGTTGGGCATTGTGCAGACAGTATTCCGTGGCTCCGTGCAGAAGGGCAAGAAGGGCCAGAAAAAGGTTGGCAACCCCAAGATCTTCTGCCTTGAAATTCCATCTCCGTGCTGCGTTCAGCTTCATGTCGTGTTGCTGGACCCTGTCCAAGACGCGCGCTTCAAGGCGACTTGCCTGAGCCCTGTGCTTCAGGTGGACCCGCACAGTGACCATGTGCTGGCGCAGGTCCCTGCGCAGAACTTCCAAGTGCGCGAGCGTGAGGATGCCATCCTGGTCGATGTCAGTCCACTGACACTGGAAGCGATCCGGGAAATCAAGACTGCAAAGCTCATCATGTCTTCGTCAGTGCTTCGGCGCATAGCAGGTGGCTTATGTAATCTTATGCGTGTTTATGTGGTCTTGTGCTGCCTTGGTTAGACTTGCAAGATCTTCCAAGCGCTCCCAAGTGCTCCCAACATCCCTACTATTCCCATGCTATTCCCTGCTAGCCCTCCGAGATCCTCTGAGCGTCTCTGAATATCTCTGAGCATAGAAGGATTTCACTGCACGTTTACGCTGCTGTGGTTTTGACATGTTTTGACGTGTTTTTTTTCGCACGATAAGCATGCTGTCACCGAGGTCAAAGAGCCAGCTGCCAAGGTCCTGTACTTCACCGAGGAGACGTTCCAGGCAGCAAAGACGCGCTCCAGTGCCATCCGCCAGTATGTGCAGGTGCTGCGAGGTTTCTATGAAAAAGACCACGGCCCCCTGGACCTGAGTCGCGTTTCTGGCAGTCCAACTTGGGACCAGCTTCTCGCAAAGGCCCCTGGGTTTTTTCAGCAGCGGCATCACGCGCTCACCGTCAGTATGGCCAGTCATGTCAGCCACAGCAAGGCGACGTTCGGGCCGTGGGTGTCAACTGAATTCCAAAAATGCCTGGCCCAGCCAAAGGCTTTCATGCGCCTCCTGAGTGATATCGCCAAGAGCGCAGTTATTGCGCTGCCAGCCAGCTGATGCTGCCCGAGTTTCACACAACGGCTTCACAGATAGTCACAGGGTCTCAATGAGTTTAATGTTGAGTCAAATTGAGTCAAGCTTGTTTGAACAATGCCAGAAACAATCGGTAACATGATGGAAACATGTCAGTCAAAGACAAATTTAACGCAGAATTCCACTAGAATATGCTAGAATTCCACGGTCGGCTTGAAGCCATGCTTGGGGATGCGGGGATTAGTGCGAAGATGCGCGAAAGCTTCTGAGCACGTTTTTGGGGTTCGCGCCAAACGGCGCCTTCGCACACACGGCTTGGTCAAAATGTCCTTTTAGAAGATGTTTACAAGGGGTGAAAGATGCACTAGACTAAGATTTCCATAGGCTATCATAGGCTTCCCATCCCCGCAACATGATTTTTGACATTTTTTGACCGTGGCTCGTGTGCCTCCAACTCAGTTCAGCCAGCGCGGGGGGCCTAAAAAGTCTCAGGCAGTTTGCGCGCAGACGCACGATGACGCACGCACCGGGATTCGGATGGGATTCGGGCATGAAAAGAATACGAAAAGATTTCGGAGCATCATCTATGGGAAGTCTCGAGAGGCTAAGATCTACTGCGGGTATGTTATGTTTAGGCTATGTTTGGGGGTGGGGGGGAACTTGGAAAAGTACAAGTGGGGGGGCCCCCCCCCCCGCTAATAGGGGGCTATGGTGTACGTGTGTGTGCACGGGTTTGCGCGGGAGTGCGCGTGTGTGCGCGTGTGTGCGCGTGTGCGCGTGTGTGCGCGTGTGTGCGTGTGCGCGTGTGTGCGCGTGTGCGTGTGTGCGCGTGTGCGCGTGTGCGCGTGTGCGGGTGTGCGGGTGTGCGGGTGTGCGGGTGTGCGGGTGTGCGGGTGTGCGTGTGTGCGTGTGTGTGTGTGTGGGCTTCAGGGCTTCAGGGAGTGAGCAGGGGCGAAGACACGAAGACGCGAAGAGACGAAAACGCGCGAGGGCTTCAGGGCTTCAGGGAGTCAGAGTCAGCAGAGCTGGGGCGAAGACACGAAGACGCGCATCTTCAGGGTCGAGGGAGTCAGCAGAGCTGGGGCGAAGACACAAAGACACGCATCAGGCAAAAAACGTAACCCGCTGCGCCTGCCCTTCTTTTTTTTCAAAACATCATGCTTCTTTGTCGGATCCCACAAGCAGCCTTAGACAATTTTCACCTACATCTGTTTGTGCGTGTGGTGTGGGCGTGGATGTGCGTGTTTTGTCAATAAAAACGAAGGATCACGCGTCACAGTCCTAAACACCCATTATCAGCTGTGTGTGCGTTTGCGAGTGTCCGGATTGGTTTCTGGATTATGGTATCGAGCCTTAGATACGAACACGATACAGCCGATCCACACATACACACTTCTCCTGGGAAGTTGTGGCTGAGCTGTCATCCCAGGAACACTGTGTCCAGAACAATGCAACACTAAGCAAGAGAGCACTCTCACAATCACCAGCCCTCATGCAATTCCATTAACCTCAAATTCCCAAGCCCTGAACAAAAGAACAAGGAATGGCAGCAAGGACTGACATCTTCTGAAACTGCGTGGTCCGGCATGCTAGGTCCGTACAAATTAAACCGACCTTTGCCAGGAGCTTGTGACTGAAAGGCCCTGATGAAAGGCTTCCTCGTTTCAGCTTGGTGATTCATGAGAGTTCACCTAGACGACAGGTATTACCTTAGTCTGCATCAGATCATATTGGAGGCATGTAATCCATATTTGAGGATAGAGAATAGATGATAGATGACACATGACAGATGCTGTCCAGAGACTTGAGACACAAACATGACGTGTCCGATTGGCCGACGCTATGACGTTTGGCTGCATTGTCAGCCCTGTGGCAAGAGACCGGCATGAAACCCGACTCGAGGTGCCAGATCCGCTGGGAGTTCGACTCTCCGGTGATCCCGCTGCTCAATCGGATCGCACCTTCAGATGTGATCATCGTGCGCAGCTTTGCAAGACAAGGATCCAGCGAAAGAGGGGCAGGGAGCCAGGGAGGAAGTTAAGTAAAATCCGGAAGTGCCATGGCCGGACCGAGAGTAGATGGGCTCAGAAGAATTTGAGTCAGATTCAGGAGGGGTGTTAGCCTGTGGCATTCCCACGTCACGTCTGAGAAGCCACCTTCTGGTGGGTACGGGCCTGTGGATGAGAGGGAAATGAGGGTATCAGCGGGCTTATACCACGGTGTGGGAAGGTTGGTCGAGTCGAGCTAAACAAAGCCATCTACTTTGAGAACAGCCCATGGAGCTGGCTTACTTACCAATTGGTGGTGGGTTTACCTTCAAAAACAACACACATTGAGCAAAAGGAGCGTCCCCATTTTATTCAATACCCGCCTGAAGCTGCAGCAGAGATGCCTGATTCCAATCCTGAGATTGCGGCCGCCCATCGAGTCGGATCAAGCTTCTATGAGAGATGGCCAGGAAGGGTCTGATCTAGCAGATTCGTTGCTCAGGTTCCGTTGTGTTTGCTGAATGTGTACTCCTTGCCCTTGTATTTCAAGGCCCTTTGTTCTGTGAGGGTTGCAACAAACAAAAACTACGCGGGGAGGAGGGGAAGGCTTGCCAGGCCGGAGAAATCTGTACTTGACTCTTGAGTTGGTTCTGGTTAACCACAGTTTCGGCGCATTCAACCGAATACACGGGTTGCCCATGCGGCTACTGCCGGCAGCAAGCAAGTGGTTTGGCCAAGGAAAGCGAGGGAGCTGCTTAAGGCTGGACTCCACGCTTGCGTCTTGGAAGAGCGCCCTGGCACGGGAAAGGGAAAACAGGGCTCTACTGTGGACGGCTTCGAAATCCATTCGCACCGCCTAAGAAACCATGGTTGAAACCATGGTTTGTTGGTACAGGGAGAATCATCATTCCAGAGTTTCTTAGGTGGTGCAGGATTTCGAAATGGATGGCGCCGGTTTAGATGGGGTTCATTCCATTTACCAGGGCCATCTATTTTTCCGAAAGGCCGCCTACGGTTCTGAGAATGCTTTCTGGTGGGGAGGACCTAGGGTTGCATCCCTAAGGCAGTCGTTTTGCTTCATCCGTCGCAGGAATCGTGGCCATGTTGGCAGCTGTCATAGTCGCATTGCATGTGGGAGGTACTCGTATGGCCAACGCAAGCGGTTACTTTGGTAGGACTGTTTAGTGTGCATGGCATTGATATTCAGCGGTTGGAAACGTAGACACCCTTTACCATAGCCTCAACGACACGTCAAAAGCCTGGATCTCACAAAGCGTTTGCTTCCAAGAGTGTCATTGTTGCTCGCCCAGCGGAATGTTTTCCCTGGCACGAGGATTTCGGTTCAGCAAGAGGCGGAACCTGACGACCTTGTTCATTGGTGAGAACCTTGGCAGCATTGGCCGTTTCCAATCCCTCCCTAGCTCTTGCTGAGGCACTTACACCTGGGATGCCCTCAAGTCTGATGCAAACGTGCAACAGCCCTTCAGTCAGCAATCCTTCCTGTGGGTTGTGGGATCACTCAGGGTTTATCCAACCACTTTTGTGATACAAGGGAAACTCCCCCTTTCTGTTGTATGACAGAAGTGGTCATTTCCCACAGCCCTGTTCATGTTTGCTGCGGCGACTCCAGGAAGTTGGATGGGGATGAGAAGGCGGCCAGAGGCTTGTTCATGGTGAACCACGAGTCTTGACAGCACAGGATGTGCCGCGCGCAAGCTTGCGCATGTCCTCTCCGAGCGCGTGACAGTCCTCTTGTTGTAAATCACAAGAAGCCTATGAGAAGGATTGCATTTTGGATCATGTGAGCAGCTGCCACCAACAGATACACAATGGTGCTCAAGCGACTAAATGGGTGTTGGAAGCACAGCGGTGCTCACGTGATTCATTCAGCGATTGAATCACAGCAGTGCTAAAGTGGTCAAGCGTTGTTTCACGGATGTTTGATCCACAGCGACACTCAAGTGATAGGGCTGCTTTCATTTAGTCAAGTCAGAAACCAGGGAAAGCATACGCAGAAGTGTTTGTCACGAGAATCTGCGTGTGTGTGTGTGTGACTTTGGGGCTGGGTGTGTGCATCAATAGCACTTGGTGTTCAATATGGTCAGACATTGATTTCCGCATTTTGTCCCACCCAAATCTGCTTGATTTTCCGGTAAGAAAGCAAGCAAGCAATCCCAACACCGGCCCTAAACCCACCCCAAGCCATAAACAACCCCTAAACCAACCCTAAATGCACCCAAAACCCAACCGAAACCAAACCCTAACCAACCCACCCTAAGCCAACAACCCTAAACCAACCCCAAACCAACCCCAAACCCCTAAGCCAAGCCTGGCCAAACTCTAAACCAACCCTACCCTAAACCACTCCCTCAACCTTAAACCCGAAACCGAGCGAAATTGAGGTATTCACGCACTCTGCCCCAAACCTGGCCTCCCGTTTGTTTCCCGTCTTCCGCGCTGTTCCGGTAGTCTTGCCGTTGTCTTCCAAAATCTTCCTTGCTCGGATCTGCGCGTTTTCAACCACCCCAAACCCACCAAAAGCCTCCCCCAAACCCATCTACAACCCCAAACCCACTATAAAATATCCCCACACCCACGCACCAACCCCAAACCTACCCCCACCCCACACCAACCCCAAACCTACCCAACAGTGACCCTAAACCACCCCAAACTAACCCTAAACCACCCCTACCAACCCCAAACCAACCCGAAACCAACCTTAAACCGACCTAAACCAACCCCAAACCAACCTTTAACCCGCGCTAAGCCAACCCTTAACCAAACCTAAACCAACCCCAAGCCAACCCTAAACCCACTGAAACCCACAGCCTAAGCCAACCCGAGCCCACCCGAAAAGCAACCCTTCTACATTACTGGCCTTGCAGAGGGCAGGTTCGAGGATGTTCTTTTGATTCTTTTGTAGAGCCTACTTTTGGAAGAACGTGCGCTTTTTGAAGAACCCACTTTGTTCTCAGCACACAACGCTCGCAGACAAAACAAACCCTAAACCAACCTTACACCCACCACAAGCCAACCCTAAACCAACAAACCCCAGCTAAACGCACCCTAAACCAACCCTAAGCCAACCCGAAACCCACCCGAAACCAACCTCAACCCAAGCCTAAGCCCACTTAAGCCAACCCCAAACGACCCTAAGCCATCCCGAGAATCGAAAAGCCCAGGCTGCAAAGATGACTGCGGGGCAAGGATCAAGGGTCCCAGGCTTTGCTAATTTGAACAGAAGAACGGGTGGTTCAGTGTTGCGAACTTGCGAGTCGTAGGTGCGAGAGTCTCTCCGCAAGTTTCTCTGCGCAAGTCACAAGTTTCTCTGCGCAAGTTCTCGGCTCAAACTTCTCTGCTGAGGTTTGTCTATGCAGGTTTCTCTGCACAAGCTGCTTGTGCAAGTTTCCCTTTGCAAGCTTTTTACAAGCTATCGATACAAGCTTTCTGGGCGAACTCTCGGCGCACGCTTCTCCACGAAAGTGCTTCGTGCAAAGTTCTGTGGTTAGAAACTCCCCCCGGCTAAAATAAAAGCCGGAGACTGGTAAAGGCGCTTAGCGCTTTTTTCCCATCCGACGCCGGACACCCTCTCATACAGCGCTTTTCGTAAGCGCGGAAATACTAGTTGGATTCGCGAAACGGCAATTGTTTGGCCAAGCGAGGTTCCGGGTGGGCAAACATTTGTGCAGATCGACCACGCCATTCCCTTCTTGCGTTCTGATATTAGGCGCAGTGTCGGAATTTCCTAATAAAGAGTTTCCGTAGCATGGAGACGGAACAATTTGCACATTCCGGCGGAAACAAAAAAAACGGAAATCAATGTTGAGGCATGTTGAGGCCCTTTGGCCTCGCTTCCTCTTGGCTTGCGTTTGACATCTAGACTAGTGTTGAAAGGGACCCCGACTGCACAGTCCGCGGCTCTGTTCCGATTCAGACTTTGTTGAAGGGGCCTACCCAAATGAAGCCTGTTGTGTGGTTTGCTGTTGCTTTAGTTTACGCGCTGATGCTCTTTTGTTGGGCTATTTTTGAACCTATACCAACAAAATTATTCCAGACTTTTGGACTTGCGGGTGAATTGAGCTAATTAAAATGCTGAAACGCGGCATCCCCTTCCAGGCACATCATTGCGGCATGCTGCGTACTGCTTCAATCTTGCCCAAATTGGCGGAGCGTGCTTATGGAAAAGATGTTGGCTGCTCATCATATTAACAGATCCATGAAACATGATGAAAGCAACACAGGCCTGTAAGTCTTGGTTGAACAGGGGTCCTGAAGGGATACATCCAACTCAGCTGTATGTGATGTTTCAACTGGCCCAAATGTATCCTTTGAGAGGCCCACTTCCCTTTATGTGGCTAAGTAAGGAGAATGAAAACGGGCTGGAACTGGGGCTACAGCGGGAGTAGATGGACATTGTCCCAAAAGATTATTACAAGCGGTACACTTGAGCAGCACCCCAAAACCCCCATTTGGCAATTTTAATTCATGGTTCTACTACATGGTTGAGTAAGGATAATAGTAATGCCCATACGGGCGTGTTTTAAGGGAAGGCACCCTTTGTTTGAGGCGGGTCTTAAGGGAAACCTAAACGAAAACCACTGCTTTTTTCAAAGGAAGGGGTCCCCTTTAAAACACAACACACACACACACCCATGCAAACCTTCATAACCTAAGAGCCAAAGAGCCAAAAGCCAAGTTTCGGCCGTCCGAGAAATCCTGGAAGTCTTAGGACAAGCTGGCAGTGGTGGACATGACTGAGGGCCTGGATGGGGAAGAGGCTGCTGCGGTGGTGGAGGACCTGGTGAAGGCGGATGCCATGCAGTGGGACATGAGACTCGGATTTTGGGAATCTGGCTCGTCTGGGTTTGAATGGGGTAGGTTGTGATGGAGAAATTGTGGTGTTTGTTGTTTGATGCGGAAACATCACACGATAATTTTGGTTCATGGTTTCAAGGGAACCAGGCAAACCGCAAGTTTGGGGTTTCAAATCCTACATCAGGAGGACGAAAGTTTATGCCTCTTGCTGGTTTCTCGGAAGCCGTATGGATCGCCTGCGGGTCGAATTTCCGATTCGGTTTTGTGTGGCAGGAGTGGGACGGTCAATTATCACCCTCCTTTAAATTTAAAATACTTCAAAGGTTTTGGAGTGTGAAAATTCGACCACGAGTGACCCAGCATGAGCTTGCAGGATTCTAGGGGGAAAGGGTTGTGTTCTCTGAGAAGGCCTGAGACACGCAACTTTTGTCCTGGCAGTGTATGTTGGCACATGCCCATGTGGCGAATGGGAGTTCGGTGGGTTGGGACTCTTCAGCGCCTTTTCTTGGGTTGCACCACCCCCCCCCCTTTGGGAAGAAGCCCTCCACAGTTGGGCATAAATCGCTTGTGAATGTTGTCCACTAAAAGTCAGTTTCATTTTCATGTGTTGGATCGAGGTGGGTTTGCAGTGGGACCAGTTTGCCGAGTGGGATTGAAGGAGCCTTTTTGAATGTGTTTCCTTGAAATTCAACAAACATCTTGGTGCTCGGTGGACCTTTCTAACTACGATCTTGCTATCTGGCTCTGTGTCCAAATGGGCATTGTGTTCCTTTATTATTTGAGTGTCCCCACAAAGTTGTTCTGATTTTTACACATCCCTCAGTCAACAAAGCTGCCCTTGCCGCCTTTTCATTCTTCAGATCCACGTCGACCACAGGCCTCGGACAGCATGTGTCTTTGGTGACACAAACCTTTCCGCGCTCAATTCAACTACAAACAAAGGTGCCGTGGTTTGGCCCATGGCGGGTTTTGGGGTGTCCGTGAATTCGGAGGTCAGTTGAGCATAGCGGTTCGCTGGGCGTTGACTTCGGCTTAGCCCAACGTTGGGGGATGCGCTGAGGAGCATCGCCACTTTAGAGGTGGCTGAGTCCACCACTTGGCTCGGCTCGCCGGCGGGGGTCTGTGACCTGAACGGCACCTCGGTGCAACTGATGTGTCAAATTGAGACCCCCTAAAACTTGCTGGTGCGATAGGTAGAGAATGTGGGAATGAACCTTTTAAGGCGCCAGTTGGATGATGTATAATTAAGGGTCATTTCTCCTTCCCTGCCTGTCGCACCAGCAAGAAAATAATGGGTTTCCTGCGTGTTCGGAAGGTTGGCCACAAGGGACTCCTGCGACACGTCGCGAGTTTCTCGAAGCGGTGGATCTGCTTTGGTCTTCAAAGGGACCAAAAAGGAAGGCAGCCACTTGTGTGTGTGTGTGTGCGTGTCTTTTTGAAGGTGGGACTCCCCAAAATAATGGTTTTCCTTTTGTTTTGCTCTGAAACCACCAACCAAGGGGTGCCCTCAAAAAAAGACACACCCATGTCATGTGTAAGGAACAGTTTTGAAATCGACACTCCAGGAACGTTTCTCGAATGTCCAGCCCGAAATGTCCAGCCCAACCTCGGGTTCATTCAGAGGACTGCACAAATCAGAGTGGTTCCCTTTGTGTAAAGAAACAGAGGGAAATGATTCCTTTATGGAAGTTTTATTGAGGTTCTTTGAATTGAGGGGTCCTCCGGATTAATCCGAAGTTGGCATTAGCGAAAATGTGTATGTATATGACCTGTAATTACATGGTGGCCAGGCCGGCTGAATGCTGAATGGCGGGGAGTACTGGTTGGTGCAACTTGTTACCCAGTCGTTCAGTGGATTCCCCCCCTTCGCCATTGTTGTTTGGGTTCACCAAAAGTGCTCAACCCCAAAGTCGAAATCCTGCACCACTTTGAATCAATGGGAAACCACTGCTTGCTGGTATTTTGCAGGGGAATCCTCATGCCAGGGTTTCTTAGGTGGTGCAGGATTTCGTTCATACACGATATAATACCCGTTGGCCGAAGGGGCGGATCACTGAGCAACTTGGACCCAGGCTGGAGCTGCATGCGCTACGAGGTGCGGGGTGAGCTGGGCTTCTTGGCAGAGGTGGCCAGAAGGTTTTCTCTTGACTGTGGTGTGTGTGTGTGTGTGTGTTCCAAAAGCTGACTCCCCGAGTTCATGGACTTTTAAAGTTTTTGAGAAGACCAGTTTAGTTGTAAATGAACAGTTTGAACTTTTTTGGGCAGTCCACTCAGCAAGCGAGAAATAGGCATTTGAGTCATTAGAGCCCTGAAAATGGGGTGGGCGGGGTCCTTCTGGTTTCCCTTTGAAACTCTTTGAAACGGGGTCGTAGTTTTTTCAACGACAGGGCAATTTCGCAGCGGCAGCCCACTGGTTTCCAGCTTGTATTCACTTATTGGTCACCTGTTCGAGATGTTCAGTGGCAGCCTTTGTTCATTTTGTGTGGCTTCTGCCTGGCCTATCAGCTGACAGTGCAGGGAATAGCAGCACCTTCGCATTGGCGTTTCACGGGCAGAGTATGGGGAATGCTTTGCATCGCCTAAACAAGCAGCTCAACATGCAAGACGCTGAGCACTAGCCTAGCTGCATGCCTTGCTCATTGTGTCAACAAATGATGGTTTAACTTTCATAGTTGTGGACCATCTGGTTTAGGGCCAGCGTCAAAGATAGCAAGGGAGCCCCCTAAAAAATGTGGGATGGGAATCCCAATTTGGTATCACAGAAGGGATCACGTCCCACAACCAAGACCTTTGCCTTTCCGAGATTCATTCTGCGGTTCCGTGGTGGATAGGTTCCTGTTCATGTTTATTTCACAACCATGTGACAAGGGACCCTAGTTTTAGGACATGCCTTCTTGCTTGATCCGCGTTTAACATCCCAAACGGAATGGTTTCCTGTGGGTAAAATGGTTTGCGTGCGTGCATGCGTGCGTGGGTGGGTGGGTGTGTGAACGTCCTGTGCGCTTTCCTTGGAACACACTTGCCTTCAGGCAACTATGGCGATTCAATAGGTAGAACCTATGCTCGCAAGGGTGGTGGCTGTCTGCTCGTTCACAATTGCTGTGATGCCGAGAAAGAAAGTGTGCTGGCAAAAAATACGAATCCTTTGACTTGTTGCATGCGAAAGGGCCTGGGCGACGTTTCAATTGTTTTCTGTGTTGTCACGGATACGTTAGAACCTTCAAGGTGTCGGCAGAGTCCCGAGTTTGCCCATTTCTGTTGTTACCTGGGACTTGACTCAATCTCGATCAATTCGCACATACAGTTCTATGTTCAGGTCTATATAAATAGCTATAGCATTCTATAGCGACCATATAAACTTACACGTGCTCTGTGTTCCTCGCTGTATGCATCTGAGGCATGTCGATGCGAAAGAAAGGCGGCAGAGTGCAGACGCCGGACGTGAAGTGTCGAAGTTCACTGGTTGCCCCTTGCGCTAGTTAACAGATTTCCCATGCAGGGATTGCCAGTTCAGACCTTTTCTAACTCATGCCCAAAAAAGCCTGCTTGCTTGGGGACCTTGATTGTTGCTCATGCAAAAGAGGGCCACAGGCACTCAGTGTCGTTTTGGGCATGCCTTCCGAAAAGCGACTCGCTCTCGGACATACTTCCAACTGTGCTACGCCCCCCTGTAAACACAGTGCGCTTAATCGCTGCCTGCACTGATTTGCGGACTTGCGTTCGTTTCGAGGCTTCCCAAATGCAATTCCTTGCACGTCCTTAATCTTGCATGTTCTACCGCGCGCAACTTGTTCGACTCGTCCTGGTGGTTGTTTGTTTTGTTGCTTGCCTTGAATCTCCAGTTCGAACTGACACCTCAAACACGGACTCTGCTTGAGCCCCTTTCTGAGTGCTTGTTTCCTCTTGGCTTCCATTCAAAGCAACTCCAAGATCGCTGACAGTCCACCCTCAATAAAGTTACATCCCCATCTCTGGCCACTGTTCGACTCACCCATCCCTGACCATGTGTTGGAGCTTACATAGTGGCATTCGTACTGTGGATAGACAAAACTGGGCCAGGCTGGATGGATCAAGCAAACAAAAAATGCCTTTGCACATCAGCGTGGAGTTTGTCCCGACCCCGCTTTCAATCGTTAGGGAGTTCTCGAAATAGGGTTCTTTAAAACGGCAGCACCCCTGCAGAAGAAGTAGCCACAGCCGCACCCATGGGTAATTGTTCTCTCCTCCAAACCAGGTTTGGGTTTTCAAAAGCAAAGGACAGACCGACCCACGCCAAGCGCAAAAGCAACACACAGATCGATCTTTGGCGAGGCTTCCGCACGGAGGGGGTGACCTTCCAGGACTACTTCGGCCACCCGCTGCCGGTCTCCGCCTGCCTCCCAGAGCTGCGACAGAAGTTCGCCGAGCCCTCGGAACGACTTGGGGGAGGGGGAGTTGGGGCGGCGGAGGTCTCGCCCGGTTTTGTTGTCGTTGGTTTTTCCTTTTTGGGTGGTGAGTTGGCATTGCCAGACTTGGCTGACCTTTTGGACTTCTTGCCTTCGTGGTTTTCCGTCATTTGCGCTTTTAAAGCAGCGAAAAGTTAACTGCCAGTTATGTTGCTCACCAACTGCATGCGTGAATCAAAAATGTTGACTTGTTTGTTTGTGGTGTTTTCAACTTTCAGACCCCTCATCAACGGAGCAGCTCGTTGCCCTTTGACTCTTCTGGAGATTGGCATGGAACCGCGGACAACAGCACTTATTTCATGATGTGTTTAGGAAGATGCTGAGGCTTGCCTCGCACTGACAGAGAGCCAAGAGAGGATTTGGACCACATCATCCAAGCCCTTGCTTGATTTTGTTTGGTCAGTTCTGCAACTTGGTGCTTGTTTTTGCTGGGGTTGTTTGATTGATTTTGATCGACCAAGGCAACTTTTGCATTTGAACGATCCTTTGCGTGTGGCTGACTGTTTTTGTTTTTGCTTCTTCTGGAAGTCTTTGTTTTTTTATGTATAGCATATACCATTGGATTACAACAGAAGTCCGAGGTGGATGGGAGGAAGTGATGTTTGCCAATGCTTAATGTGATCCCAAGATCAGAAGTCCAGCAGCCGTCCCGAGAAAGGGTCGGCTTCGCTGGGTGCTAAGCAGGATGAAACAGAAATCATTCAGAGAGGCAACCGCTGCACGGTTGGAAATGAGCAATGAATCCATACCCATGGAGGTGGGAGTGTTCGCCATGAATGCCTTCATGCCACTATTACGGTGGCTCCAGCTCACTCTTGATCCGACTTTACTGTTCCAGGCTACACTCCCTGTCAACTCGAAAGATGTATTTGTAATAAGGCAAGTTGTGGTCGCTGTTTGTATGCCGACTGTGCCTATTGTTCGACTTTTCCAAGGAGGCAGTAAAGGCTGACAAAGTGAAGGCTGAGAAGAGGGGAGAGGCGACCGGATTAGGGGGGGGGCATGCGGGCGCAAAGTCTTGACGGACAAAAGACAGACGTGACAGCCAAATTCAATGCATAGTTATCTACCTCGGAATTGGCCGGGTGACTGAGCTCATCAGAGGATTATTTTGCAACTGGATGAAGTCCCCACCCTATTGGGAGGCCGCATGGCGCCAAAAGCGGCCTGCCTTTAAGCTTATCAGAATGGCAATAGCCGTTTTCAGGTGCAATATGGCAAATGTATGCGTCCTGCTTCCTTCTGTTCAGCCACCCTGATATTCCCAGAGTTTTCCCTGTACCTTGATATCACGAACCATGGTTATGGGTTGACACCCCTGCACACACACCACCTGCACAAGCAAATGCCTGCCGTGAAGGGGATGATCAAAACTTGGATGGCAGGCAGGCTGCAGTAGTTGCCCACTTGCAACGTCGCGGTCAAGCGATCCCGAAGCAAAGTGGTTCAACAATCCTGGAAGCTGATGGATGGGATTTGGAAGGCTACTTTCCTTTTTGGGGAACCCCCCTGTCCGTTTCCATGAATGGAAAGAGGGTGATGCTCGACTTCACCCTCCGTGTTGTTCTTGTGCTGGCCGTTCCGACATGAGGTGTGGGCACCCTTTCGATCAATCGAGTGGCCACCAAGATCGTTTTGAGCGATCGGTTGGCGGGCGCATGTGTTCTGCCTGTTTTGCAGCGAGCTCATGTGGGGGGTATAACAAGCTCACCATTATAAAGGTCCTTTCCCTGCGGATCTCTTAATTCAGCTCTGGAATTATGATAAATAGCAGATCTGTTGAAAGTTCTATGTTCTACATTCAGTTAAGCGGGGAGAGACAAGAATGGAACAGAGCGAACTGGCCCAAAGTGGATTTTGAAGGGTCCACCCCTTACTGCGAGAGACGAGAGCTGCGTCACGCGCCCTTTGAGGAACTTTCATGTTTTAACCCGTCAGGGTTCAGTTCTTCAACCGGAGCCCTCCGTCAGGTTGCCAATTGGTGGGAGGGTACCCCAACTTTGTGCCAACTTCCCAGGCCGAAAGTGAGCGCTCCTCAAGCAATGTCCCCAAAGTGACAGCTGCGGAGTTTTATTCGAACCCGACTGCTCTGCAATTTTGACCCACTGGTGGCAGTCCCTCAAAATTCGGCACTGAAAGTTTATTTGCATTTGCTTGATCCCGGATGATTTTAGCATACAGGGAGAGTCCTTTTGTTAAAATCCCCCAATTTTGAGAAGCACCCGAGTTACATGTTGCTAAGCAAGATTCGGCGAAATAGCGTAGCTGCCCCGCTAAGTTGTCTCCAATGTTCCACAACAAAGAAGAGGTCGAAAGAAGCAGCAGGCATCCAACCGGAAATTGGCCAAATCGATACTGTGGTTGGACGAAACCGAGCAGATCTCTACAGATGCCGGTTCGTGGATCAAGCCGAGTCCTGGGAAGGGCTGATGAGTCTGAAGTGCTCCAAGGGACTGCTGAATGAACCCTCAACCGCACGTTTGGCAACACGCTTCAAAATCGACTCACGCACCAAAGACATCGTTGCATCTTCATGCTTCACATCACGCCCAAAAGTTGGCAGAGCGAACTTCCTGCAGACAGCTGCCATAGCATGCATTTTTCGGCAACCACGATGGATTCCATCAAAAAGCCCACTAAGTTGCCCGAGTGTGTCACGCTCGTCATTTTCCCAATGTCATCACCGGACATTCACCTCGCCGAGCTTCCGCCGGAGCTTTGTGCGGAGCTGCGTGCGGCCCTGAGGCCGCTGGTTGTACGGCCAGCGGTGACTGGGGTGATCAATGTGGAGGTGACGGATGACAAGGCACAAGGGACCAAAATTCATGGATTCCTCGCGTTGTTAGCTTTTCTGCTGTCCACATTCCCTCCTAGACACCTAACCAACAGGAATTATCCTAACCCTTGAAGCATAATGCTCCGATGATGATGATGATGATGATGATGATGATGATGATGATGGTGGTGGTTGTGGTGGTGGTGATGGTGATGGTGATGGTGATGGTGATGGTGATGGTGATGGTGCTGGTGGTGATGGTGATGGCGATGGCGATGGCGATGGCGATGGCGATGGCGATGGCGATGGCGATGGCGATGGCGATGGCGATGGCGATGGCGATGGCGATGGGGATGGGGATGGGGATGGGGATGGGGATGGCGATGGCGATGGCGATGGCGATGGCGATGGCGATGGCGATGGCGATGGTGATGGTGATGGTGATGGTGATGGTGATGGTGATGGTGATGGTGATGGTGATGGTGATGGTGATGGTGATGATGATGATGATGATGATGATGATGATGATGATGATGATGATGATGATGATGATGATGATGATGATGATAATGATGATGATGATGATGATGATGATGATGATGCAGCATTGATATTTTGTGGTACCTTGTTGAGTGCGTCAAACCTTAACTCAAACTTGATTCATTGGCACCGAGTGGTCTTTGAATCGTGTTGCATGACTATTCAACACCTCTATATTGAGCATCCAAAGCCCAAAACTGTAGGGATGTCCGGTCCCATTTGTTGAGCCAGAGAACCAGGTGATACCGCTTCAAGGCATGCGGTTAGAAGTTGGAAGACGCCAGTGTTGACAGGTGCTGCTGAAGCTATGGAGCCACGTGCAGTGCCACGTTCCCCGCAGCTTTCAAGGCGCCACTGTGGTGGCATTGCGGCAAAATGTTTTGACCTAGCCAGTTGGTTGCATCACGAGGTGTTGGTTTACATCCGTAGGTACCTTTGATATTTCAATAATCCCATTGTCAGTTGGAGCCAAGTTCGGTCACGGAGACTCCCAGAAGGTCAAACCTTGGTTGGGCCGCACCCCCGCATGCGCTTTCTGGAGTACGTGGCGCCGGAAACTGCCCAAATCGCTGAGCAGCGTGATCATCCTCCCCATGCAGACACTCCACTTCAAGATGCAGGATCAGACTCTTACATCACAGTCTTGCTCTATTTGAATTCAGACTTCAATGGTGGAGAGTTGCAGTTCTTGGGCGAAAACGAGATAACCATTGAACCCAAAGAAGGCATGGTGGTGGTCTTCCCTCACAGGCTTGTGCACCAGGCCAAAAAACTGCAGCACGGTACCAAGCAGCTGCTGAAGGTCTCAGTGTTATATTCGGAGGACCGTGTGCCTATGCCTTCTTCCTCAAGCTGCACGGAGGTCTGGGGTCGAAATTGGCAGGCAACGTGTGATTGATTTCTTGGCGGTTCCCAGCCGTCCCCTTAGGTTTAGGTCTTTAGTTGGTTTAGTGGGGGGGGGTCCATTCAACCCACAAAGTTAAAAACTTGTAGCAGGGGATCTGAGAACGGCCCAGATTCCGAGGCCTGCTCGGACTCAAATAAGGATTTTCACCATTGCTAAGTGAGACTTTGCTGTGCGCAATCGTACCATTACCTATGTAACCCCATGTTGACGAACAGAATTCCCTGCGTTTCACCTCAAGGAGAGGTTCCTTGCGTTTGGGTATTGGGACTCGAATGTGACTTCAAGGTATCATTGGCTCCAAAACATTGATATTGATTTTTTGTGAATACTACCAATTGGGTAACATTGGACGATCAGCCGAGAGGCGGATATGGAAGAACGGCTGCCCTTTGTGATGGCCGGAAAGTCTGCAGATCGGGGAATGGAAGGAGAGGGGAGAGCTCAAGCAGGCTACTTCCAGAGGGAAGCCCTATGGAAGCATACATTGTCCATGGTCGGCACAAAGAAGGATGAATTCTCTCGATTGATTTCAGAGGCAAAGAAGTCGAACACAGAAGAAGCCCTGGAAAAGCTTCTTGACTTTATCTTGCAGCACGATGTGTGCAGTGAACCTTGGGCTGAAGAACTGTTGACATCCGCTTTCATGTCGTTGGCCTATGCCCTACAGAACAACCGATTGAAGCTGAAGGCGTATCAAGCCTTAGACTCAGCAGCGACGGTGTTGCATGGTCACAACCTTTGCATTTTATTGGGTGAGACCTTGATGCGGGACTTTGCAGCTGGTGCTAGCATTGAGGTCCGTTTGGCCGCTTTGCATGGCTTTCTTACCCTCATGGCGAATGAACACTGCAGCGAGGTTGTGCTTCAGGCGCTTAAGGACGCAGAGCCCAAGATACGACTTCGAGCCTTGCAGGGCATCACCGCGTCACGGGTGACTGCACCTTCCGTCATCTACGAGGCTGCCTTACAGAGCCTGGTGAGTGGCGATACTCCGGAAGCTTCCCTGGCGATTCAAGCGCTTTCCTTGCTTAAACCCGCTTGATGTACAGCTTCCTGCGGGCCGGGTTTGCAGCAAGGCCCGTGTGCAGTAGGGGCCCGGATCCTTCTCAGTGGACGCTGGAATGAAGAAGCCTGAAAAGGCACGGTCCGCAAACACATGGCTGTGTCATGATCGTGCCATTTCCCAACTATCGAGGATTCCAACACATCAACAGAGCATCATTGCTCCATAAATTAGAGAAGGGGGTCTACAATAGGCGCCCTTGAGCGCAATTTACAAGAGTCCCGGAAAAGAATAGTTGTCTTGGACTCGAAATCTGAAACTGTTATGTCGTGCTAGGGTGACCCCCCCCCCCCCCCCACACTGTTTTTGGTTCGGGTAGTGAATGCGTTGCCGGTGTTGGGACCCCAATGTCTGACTCTCTCCAACTCTCTCCAACTAGTGGCTTGGGCCGGTTTGGCCTGAACCGGCAGCTGGGGCACGCCGAAGAGGGAAAAGCCGTGTGTGTGTGTGTGTGTGTGTGTGTGGCTTGAGGCAATGTTCAAGCAAAGCTTCTAGCCAAGCTAATGTTGCTATCCACCGTAAGACAAGCCAATGGTGTGTGTGTGTGTCTGTGTTTGTGTGCACGTGGGTGTGCGTGGGTGTGCGTGGGTATGTCTCTGTGTGTCTCTGTGTGTCTCTGTGCGTCTCTGTGTGTCTCTGTGTGTCTCTGTGTGTCTCTGTGTGTCTCTGTGTGTCTCTGTGTGTCTCTGTGTGTCTCTGTGTGTCTCTGTGTGTCTCTGTGTGTCTCTGTGTGTCTCTGTGTGTCTCTGTGTGTCTCTGTGTGTCTCTGTGTGTCTCTGTGTGTCTCTGTGTGTGTGTGTCTGTGTGTGTGTGTGTCTGTGTGTGTGTGTGTCTGTGTGTGTGTGTGTCTGTGTGTGTGTGTGTCTGTGTGTGTGTGTGTGTGTGTCTGTGTGTGTGTGTCTGTGTGTGTCATGTGTCATGTGTCATGTGTCATGTGTCATGTGTCATGTGTCATGTGTCATGTGTGTCATGTGTCATGTGTCATGTGTCATGTGTCATGTGTCATGTGTCATGTGTCATGTGTCATGTGTCATGTGTCATGTGTCATGTGTCATGTGTCATGTGTCATGTGTCATGTGTCATGTGTCATGTGTCATGTGTCATGTGTCATGTGTCATGTGTCATGTGTCATGTGTCATGTGTCATGTGTCATGTGTCATGTGTCATGTGTCATGTGTCATGTGTCATGTGTCATGTGTCATGTGTCATGTGTCATGTGTCATGTGTCATGTGTCATGTGTCATGTGTCGTGTGTGTGTGTGTGTGTGTGTGTGTGTGTGTGTGTCTGTGTCTGTGTCTGTGTCTGTGTCTGTGTCTGTGTCTGTGTCTGTGTCTGTGTCTGTGTCTGTGTCTGTGTCTGTGTCTGTGTCTGTGTCTGTGTCTGTGTCTGTGTCTGTGTCTGTGTCTGTGTCTGTGTCTGTGTCTGTGTCTGTGTCTGTGTCTGTGTCTGTGTCTGTGTCTGTGTCTGTGTCTGTGTCTGTGTCTGTGTCTGTGTCTGTGTCTGTGTCTGTGTCTGTGTCTGTGTCTGTGTGTGTCTGTGTCTGTGTCTGTCTGTGTCTGTGTCTGTGTCTGTGTCTGTGTCTGTGTCTGTGTGTGTGTGTCTGTGTGTGTGTGCGTTTGTGTGTGGTGTGTGTCTGTGTGTGTGTGTGTCTGTGTGTGTGTGTGTCTGTGTGTGTGTGTCTGTGTGTGTGTCTGTGTGTGTGCGTTTGTGTGTGTGTGTGTCTGTGTGTGTGTGTGTCTGTGTGTGTGTGTCTGTGTGTGTGTGTGTCTGTGTGTGTGTGTGTGTCTGTGTGTGTGTGTGTCTGTGTGCGTGTGTCTGTGTGTGTGTGTGTGTCTGTGTGTGTGTGTGTCTGTGTCTCTGTGTGTGTGTGTGTGTTTTTGGAGGGTACCTTTTGGGGTGGTTTTATGGTTTTAAAGGGAGACCAAAAGGAGAACCACAATATTTGGGGTCCTAAAATCTACTTGACACATACCCAGAGACCAGACAGTTTCCTGGCTGGTTTTGTCCTTGCCAGGTGTCCCGGGCGTCAGAGTCCACTGGCCAGGGTTTTTCCATGGCGCCTCGGATTGGAAAGAGTTGCCATGGATACTAGGAGCCTTTTTTGCGGCCAAAGGAAGGAGGTTACAAAAGGGTTCTATATTGTTCAAGATTGTTTGTCCAGCTGGATTATTTTTTCGAGTTCCCTGGAAAGCAAGCCAGCAAGCCTACACCAACCCTACACCAACCCCAAAATCCGCGGAGAAACCCAACAAACAAAGCAAGTTTCGCACCCTTTGATGGCAAACGCGCGTGACAGCACGCAGCAGAGCTAGCGCAGGATGCTGCTTTCAAGCAATTGGTTTACCGTTGTGTCTCAACCAGAGATGGGGCTCTTTGGAGCAGGTTCCAGGGCATTTGTTTGCGGGGTCATGCGCTAGCTGGGCGGTATGGCCCAAGGTTTCTCAAGACCTGGGTCGCCCTTTCAGTCCTTTCGCACCCTTGGTCTACTTTGAATGGGTCTGTGTCAAAATACGGGGAATGCTACAAATGGGGGGGTGTTTTCCATAGGTGTCCCTTTCCGCCAAGATCAAAAGAGTACCTTCCAAACATCGCATGCACATGCCCAGAAACCCACACCAAAAGTTGGCTTTTTGTCTAAATGGCTAGGTGACCAGGGCCTCCTGGCCATCAGTGAGACGCACAATGTTGCGCCCAGGAAGACGACCTGGAGTCAGACGCTGGTTCCATCCAATCAGCCAGGGCCCTACCTTCCGCCATCAGAACCAGTGTCCAGTTTGATCATGGAAGCAAGGCAAACAAGCGACAAAATAGTTAGAATGGAGTTGCTGGGTGGACTCTAAAGCCGAATTAAAGGAATTAATGTTTGTAGCATAATAATGTGTGCAGTTGTTTATCCACTTACATTAGGTTACCCTTTGGTTCTTAGTGTTACCCAGATCCTGGCAAAGCACTGTCTTGTCAATCGACAAGCTGTCAGCTGAAACAAAGCTTTCGGTTCGATTCTATATCTCATGAAGTTCCTTTTGTTTAAGTGCCAGGCAGTTGCTTTGAAAATAATGAGGATGGACACAATCATGCGCCAGCTAGTAGGTGGTTTATCCCAGCATTCGAGTGCCAGAATTGTGTCCATCCCTTCAGAAATGGTTGGCGGCGACAAATCCCCGTGCGCATGATACTCAGCAAAGGGTCCCATACGGAGCAGTTAACTTGCATGGAACCACTGGAGTGGCCAGATCGATTCGGCACATGGTGTGTCGAAACCAGGACCTCAACAGAAGCCGGACATATTGTTTTGTTGACTTCGTCTCCACGTACCATCCAAAAGCTTGAAGGGGTCCTCGTTCTTGGTTAACACCGGCACGTTTCGCCATAGTTCCAACAGGGCTCGATTGTATGTTCCGTCTCTTGCAAATGAGAGTTCGTAGGACAAGGCTAGGATAGATGCACGCAACTGAGTTCAGAATCATTGTCATAGTCATATCCGCATGGGCGTCCGCGCGTGTGTGTGTGTGTGTGTGTCAAGGGGGCCAGGCCTGGTTCTGAGCGGCTAAGGGCTCGTACTCATGGAAGCAATGGCACTTCATGCGTCATGTTTGCCCTGAGCAAGCATGGATTTCACCCTTCGAGCCAATTTACCAGTCTATGTTCCTGTGTAACTTCCTGCGGGTGGCTGGGATGGGCCCAAGTTCTGTGATTTGTAAGGAACAACTTCTCATGGTACAAGTCGCTGATGTGTATCAGCAATCTTGTACGAGCTGGGGCCTGGCGTTTTCACGTGCTGACGACTTCCTGAGAAACCAGAAGAATGGAAAAACATCATTTGACAAATCCCTTTCGCCGGGTCCATTTTAAGCAGAAGGTCTTCCAATGGGGTTTTCTCCACAGGGTTCCACAGGTTCCACCAGCAGGTTGAATGTGAGTACCCGAGGAACTCCTGGATCACTGGCCAGAAGAGACAGGCCTGCGAGAAGTTGCACCGCGTGAATCGACAGCTTTGTCTTTTTTGTTCATTTGCTCCAAAGATCTCATTTGGGCTCAAAGGAATTTGGCCAAGGGGTGGGCACATGTCATTGTTTGTTTGGCACAAAGAGCAACTGTGGGAAGTATGTATCATCGTTGTTTGATCATATTGTGGAACATGTTAGCAGCGCCGAAAGTTGAGTGTGTGTTGCGCCACATGTGATTGTTGTTACCTGCTGTTGTGTGCACATGACTTGCACTTGTGCCTCCCAATTTGTCTGCTGGCTGTGTTCGTGTGCATGAATTGTACATTGGGTATCGCCGGATGTTACTCTGTTATGTCATTGATGGTGCTCCTGTCGACATTCTCTCGACATGTTCGCAAGTTCAGGACACTCATTCAGCAGGGGGAAGAAAAAGCGGCGGAAAAGGTGAAGAACAAACCAACAGCTGCGCATACGCGTGTTCTTTCCCAAAACTGGCTTGATGTCATCAGCGGATTTTTGAGCAGGTGGCCACCAGGAAAAAAAAGCTCGGACGTTGCCCAGTGTTTCTGTCGAGTCCACTCATTTTGTTCTGGGGAACCCCTACTCCAACATGTGTGTCCTTCTTCCGCCCAAGGTTGGAAACATAAGGGGCATGAGTACTCATAGAACACAACCCTAATATTGATAATTCATAGATGTGTAATAAATGTTCTAAACCATGTTCTCACGGCTGTGCATGGACAAGATCCTGCACCACATTTTGAAACCATGGTTTAAACCATTGTTTGTTAGTATTTGCAGAGGAATCATCATTCCAGGGTTTCTCAGGTGCAGGATTTCGCAACCATCCACAGTATTTCAGCCGTTATCTTGCTGGTGCGATAGGTAGGGAATGAGTTGGAATGTCCCTGCAGATTCCCGAATGAAGGAAACCACCAGTTGGATGGTTTGTAAGGGTCATTCCATTCTCATTCCCTGCCTATCGCATCAGCAAGTTATTTGGCTTTCCGACTCAACAGGCGCTCCTTTGCCGACGGCCGCGCTCCCGGGGCCCACAGTGCCGGCGGCGTCGCCGGCACCCACGCGGCCTTCGCGCCTGAGCACACGCGATAGGCGAGGTGGGAAGTTGGTTGGTCGGGAATTGTGTGGTGCCAGCAAACTGCCTCTCTTTTCATGGGGAATTAGTAGTTTGAAAGGTTTTGCGAAGGACCCATTAGGCCCAACTTCCGACTTCCCGCGAGTCAGTGCCCCAACCATAGACACCAGGGGTTCATTGGGTTCATACTGGCCATGGCCAGGCCGCCGAATCAATTTGGACTTCCCGCCTCGGCCAAACCTGCCACCCTCAGTCAGAGGCCCTCGTGACAAATGTGGTCTGCAGAGAAATGTATCCTGTCAAAGTGAAGGATCCCCCAAAATGGGTTTCCGGGCTTCCTACATTTCCCCGGCCACTTGACTTGATCTTCGGATGGTTTCGGACTTCCTCGTCACTGCAGGTTTGGTAGTTGCACCTTTGCCAGGATCTATAGGCTTCCGTTTTGATAATCCGTTCCCCTAGTGATAAAGCAGATTTTTGGAAAATGAAAAAAATCGGTATCTGCTCTCTGCTAAGTTCCTCACTCAAGAATGTCATCCTGTAACATGTGTTGATTGGACATGACCTTCCACCACCAGAGGTGAACCAAAAACATGGAGCCCCTGACACCTGTTCCAATAAAAATCCTTGAGGTGGAAACCCACTTTCAAGAAAGGGAAAGGCTTCGGAAACATAGGGAGCCCTGTTTGCGAGCGCGAGCAACGAGTTGGCATGCCCGCTCCCCTCGTGGCAGGCTAGGAAGCAGCAGCCACAAGGTGTCTGGGAGCGCACCTGGGCTGAAGAGGCATTGATGGCAAACAACTCTTGAATCCGGTGGTGCCCGTGTTTCGATATTTGTTGTTGGAGAGGTTTGACGTTTCCTTCAATGAAATGTTTAAGGAAAGGTCTGGGAATGCGGACCCCTTTAGAGTTGTCTTGGTTTGCCAGCTTCCCGTCCTAGAAAAAGATGGCGCGGCCAGCAGGGTGATGAATCCATGCAGTCACCGGGGTGTATCAAATGATATTAAATCTGTATGAGCTTGGGCAACATGAGGTAGGCTTTTCAGGGGGTCATTTGATCCACGCCCAAACCTGCTATTGGCTGGTGTTCATGAAGTTCATGGTCCTTTAGCACCATTCTAGTCTTAGTAGAACTTAAAGTCAATGGATGTTGGGTGGCTGCTCATTTGTACATTTGTACATTTGATGTGCTACGCAAGATCAAAGCTAAACCTGTTGTATCAAGCGGTGAGCCTGCTTCGTGTGTGGCGGCCTGCTCAGCCACTACTTTGGCTTTCGGAAAATGAATATTCTGCCACGAATCAGCAAATGGTTTACATTGACTACGTTTTGCAGATGTCTTAGACCAACCCGGCAAGGCTTGTTGCGACCTTTGCTAAGCATTGGTCTGAGCGGAGAGAGATTTTCCAGATCGGTAGGCATCCATAGGAGCTGGCTGGCGCCCGCAGCCCGCAGCCCGCTAAGCCACAAGGCGCATGATTGTTGTGAAAAGGAAATTCCCAGACACCCAGCTCGTTGATCCACTCGAGAACCTGATGATTTGACAAAGTTGCTCCAAGCCTCGGGGCGATCAAATCACAAATTTCGAACATTGGTGAAGGGCTTCTGGGCTTCTCAGTTCCTGAGTTCATGGACTTTCTACTTTTTGGAAAGACCATTTTAGCGGCAAACGCAAAGTTTGGACTTTTTTTTGGGGCCATCCACTCGGGGGGGTGAGGCTTCCTCTGGTTTCCCTGGGGCCAAGCTTCTACCTTTGTGCCGAGAGTCAAACAAACCCTGAGGTTTGGCTGGCAACTGACTTCCCCATTGACATGCATCAGTTTCTGCCGGCGGGTGCCCCAGATGGCGAGCATGGAGCTGTGGTGAAGGCCCCGGAGCCTTGGAGCTTTGCGTCATAAATGGTGCGGATATACGGGCTGGCTGTATTGCAATCTACTTATTTAGGGCCCCCAGATTGTGAACCACAAAACTGAGATGGAAAGAAAGAACCACGAATTGACCTGGGAGAACATGAATACTCATGCTGTTTTCAGGAAAGATCCCGACCCAAACTGACCTTTGTAGACCTGTGGAGATCTCGCCTTTTCTGGAACACGAGGTGCTCGAGGCTTTGGCGGTGGAGCACAACCCCATGAAGCGCCTCAAGGCCCGGAAACCGGGCGTGCGGTTTCCATGAACCCCCGAAGAGGAGGGGGGGTAAAAGGTGAGTTGATTTGAGCATATTGCGAATGGACGAAATCCTGCACCACCTAAGAAACCCTGGAATGAGGATTCCCCTACAAATACCAACAAACATCTGTCGCAGGTTTTCTTAGGTGGCGCGAGATGGATTTGTCCATCCACAGTATGGTTGAGTAGAAGGTTGGCCGAAGCCCAGTCGAAAAAGACAACCAGGCAGGTTGGAAATGCAGTTGGTTTTTGCCTGTGTTTCAGGGGGTGCCACAAGCTCTGAGGGGGCGGAGAGGAAAAGAAAAGCACCAGGTCCTAGACCTGAGAAATCCGCTCAAATTGAAGGATTTCTGGACCCCGAAATAGTTTGTTGTTTGAGGGCAGGTTGTTGTTGTTGTGGTTTGAAAGGAAAACCAAAGAAAACCACAATTTATGGGGTCGCCAAAAAGAAAGACACGCCCAAATGACCGGGATTTGGCACAGGAGATCGTGGAATCTCCGAGTCTCACGGAGGCAGCAAAGCGGGCCCGGCAGTCAGCGCAGGCGGGCCGGGCGCCAACGAACAGAACCCGATGTCCGAAAATAAAAATAAAAAATCTGTGCAACAGGTTCGGACGAGACTTGTTTCAAAAGCTAACCCCTGGTTTTTCTTTGAAGGGAAACCAACAAAGGTTGTTTAAACATGTTTGCTCAAAGGATTGGCCCAACCTTGCCGTACGACGAGAAAAGGCGGACAAACGATCGCAGTGTTCGGGTACTGCAACATACGAGTTTTATTAGTTCTATTTGGGCAACCCCATGTGTGTGTGTGTGCGCAGTCCTTCTCAGTTCCGTGTCAAATTGACGTGTTTCTACTAATTGTATGGGTGGGCATGGCCTTTTGAATCACTGTTAACAATCAGATAAAGCTAACCCGTACAGGTGCTGGATGTCGGGGCACGCAAACACAGGCGGTTTTGGAGAATCTGGTGGGATCCCCCTTCTAACAGTCTAACAGCTCACCGGGCAGAACAGCCCCTTTCAGGATCAAAAGCAGAGCGGGTGATGGGCCCGAAGAAGAACACACATGGCTACGCGGCTATGTCTTGAAGATTAGGAACATTTTGATTGTTTTCATTCAGAATATCAAAGAAACCCTTGCCAATTGTTGGGTCCGATTCCTATTCAACACCCATGGCGTATGAACAGATGGAAAGGGATGAGTTGCAATGGGCTGGTGGAGAGCAAGACACATTGAACATCGTGACAAACGTGCAAGCGTATGATTTTTTTTGGACAGTATGTCTTCCAAAGACCAAATGCCATGTTTTTTTTGAATGTGGCATTGCGCTGCTTGGAATTGCATGCGCAGATGCAACAAGTGCGATTCAGAAAGCTGAAGGATTCGTGAGTGGCTTATACACTGGTTACTCACGGTGTTCTAGGGCACAACTCATTCCCGGAAAAGCAGTCCAGCTGGCTTCGTCAGTACAGCTAGATGGTGAATATTTTTGTAGGGGGTTCTTTGAACAGCATGCGGCCAACTTCTCCCAACTGCCAAGCGGGATGCTCCCCACCCGCCCGGGTGCGCCAAACGCATTTGGTAGGCGCAGAGTGGCGCAGGTGGGCCGTGTGGAACCGAATACTTGAGGAACATGGGAACAGCATGGTGGATGCTTGGTTTGGTGTAGCCCATTGTTGGGCCTTCGGATCACTTGTGGGCGCAAGGTATTCCCCTTTGGCTGGCCGAGTTTGCGAATTCTTAGAGTTCCACAACGTTGATCCGCTATAGACTAGGCGGGTCAACAAGGGGTTTGACATTCTCCGCAAGAGCAAAAGGATCCTAGCCAATGTGTCAATCAACCATAGCTAGTGGTGTGTCCAGTTTAATTATGTTGACATGTGTACTCTCGGGACTTCTTTTGGGCTTATATTGAACAAGGAAAACCAGCAGAATGCCTAGTATTTGTAGGGGTCCCGGATGTTGCAACACAACATTTGCTTCCGACCCGACTGTGCCACTTCACTGCTGGCTGTAAGCCAAGAACAAATACAATGTTCCTCTTGACTTACAATGCTTTCTGCCCAGTTCACTTGCAATATCTAGGGAAGGCATAATGTTGACACCCGATTAATCATGGGATAGTCAATATATAATGCAAAGTGTTTTTCCTTGTTGTGGTTCACCCCCATTGTTGATGGGGACCAGAATAACTGAAAGTTTTGTTGCCCGGGGGGCCGGGGGGGGGGGAATCCAAAAGAATATCCACAAATCCACAAATATCCACAAATTGTTGACGGTGGCCCACTTGCTTTAAAGCATTCCCCTTTTAATTGGTTGCTCAAACACAACACCCAAAGCCAGCTGAAATCTCTGAAATTTGAGAACCATCCCCAGCCCTGAAACTGCAAATTCTTCATTAGACCGTGTTTGAAAAATGAACCAAAAAACCCAATCATCTCAAGGGTACCCCTCACAGACCCCACTGAACCACAACAATGGCATTCTTTAGGGGACCACATTAGTTGCAAGCCCCCATCCCCCTCCAGATAATAAACTGTCAGTTGCTTTACTCAAAAGATCTCAAAAGCATTCCCCTTTTAATTGGTGGCCCACTTACTTAAAAGCATTCCGCTTGGCCCGCTTGCTTAAAAGCATTCCCCTTTTAATTGGTGGCCCACTTGCTTAAAAGCATTCCCCTTTCAATTGGTGTCTTTCTAGCTCAAGCCCTCCCTGGCTGAAAGGCACACCCTTTGAATGGCTACTAACGTAATTAGTATTGAAGTGGTTGCAATACTAAAGTAGTATTCCAACAAGTCTGCTCAGGAAGGGTTGCAATACTAAAATTGAATTCCAAAAAGGAAGTGGCTGCAATACTAAAGTCGAATTGGGCCCCAAAATCTTCCATTGTTTGGACGTCCCAAAAGTGAGCCTACAGAATTCTAGTGCCTCCATTGTTGGGGGGGGGCCTTTATGAATCAAGTTCCAACATTATTCATTTGTCAGAGGGGAAGTGACCAGTTCGCAACCCACCAGCCAAAGCTTTCTCAATGTGGAACCTGGCAGCGCTTCCTTTCGTTAGTCGCCGAAATGGAAACTTGGCTCCGACGAAATCAGGCTGGACATTCTCCACTTGTTTCCTGTGTATGTGTCTTGCATCTGGCTGAATAGGGCCAAACAAAGCCCGGTTTCTTGGGCCCCCTTTCTGTCCTAGCCCAAGAATCGACGAACAACTGTCGACCACTGACGATGAAGTTGGTCTATCTCAAAATGGTGAACTCTCCCTGGGATCATGGAAACCAAAACCAAGATCCAGCTCAGCTAAAAGGACTTGACAACCTTTCAGCCCTCCACACGGAGTCCTCCTCCAGCCTTCTGGGTAGGGTACTCTTTGCACATTGCAGCCTCCTGCCCCGAAAGCGTGCCACTAGGCGTCGCTTCGCAGGTGAAGCGGGCCACGTGTTCCCAGTGCGCGCGTCAGTGCCGGTGAACCTCGCGATCCGCGCCTCTCTCCACTTCGAGGCTCCGCTCGCGAGCGATCCATCAGGGCAGGTCGAGGCGGTGCATTTGAATGGGTCGGCAAAAAGACACCCCCAAAGACACCCCCAAACACATGTCCCCAAAGAAATCCCCCCAAGTCACCCTCGGAAGAAATCCAGCCCCAGAATCAAATGGGTCCTCTTTTCTACCTTTGGAGTCACTGCGGAACCGGGTATTTGAAGCAAGGAAACCAGCACATGGTTTGGGTCCCATGCTTTTTGGAGAAGGATTTACCTAAAGGGAATATATTCAGCAGCCTCCCTCTGATTAGTGGTCTGGATTTGTGGTTTGGACGCGTTTGGGGGGTGGTTTCCTATTCACCCTCTACAAAAACCAGGGGTCAAATCCCACTAATCCAAACCACTGCAACCTGAAGTTGTGTTTCCAGTTTGCAATGGCTCCGTGAGGCCTTCACTCTGGGCGACCAAGCGCCCGAGCTCTTCCGCTTGCCATCAGGCCGCATGGGAAGTTGGCCGCTTTGGGTTTCTTGAGGTTTGGTTGGTTTCTCTTGTGGGATGTCTTGTGATTCCTTTTGTTGGGTGTGTCTTTTATTTCGGTCACATCACAGTCCAGCTGCCCCACACAGCTGCTAAGCTTGATTTTCAGCCAGCTAAGGGTCGGCTGGCGCGTGTTTGCTCTGTTGACTACGCAAACCTGCTGAACGTGCCCTTGCTTTGCCTTTCACTGTTTTTGTTTAAAGCAGCAGCAACAATGTGTCTGTCCAAGCTAAGTTTACGGCGCATACTGTTGGGCTGCTCGTGCACTTTTTTTCTTCTTTTTTTTTCGGCCATGGAACACTGCGCACACACCCTTTCGCTATGCTGTGTTTGCTGGCAATTTTCAGACACCTGACGTTGAGAAACTAGTTCAAGGCATTGAGTTATTGCGTATTTTGTTTGCAGTTCATGCCTAGATGGCTGAGTAGCTGACAGCTGTCGACAGCTTCAGGGCCGCTATATTTTGATGGCTAGCTCCTGAACAGCCGATGTGCCTTCATCCTACTGCCTGTGTTCGCGTGTTGAGTTCTTTGTTTGTTTGTGTGTGCGTGTGTGTGTGTGTTGTATTGAGGATCAACACACCCTGCATGCTTCACTGCAGGAGCGTGACACCATTTCTGATCAGAAGTCACGAGGAAGAAATAGCTCATGGTAGTTTGCGTGGCATTGGGCACATGCTTGATTGCAATTGGGCCTCTTGCGAAGAACAATTTGTTTTCTCATTTGGGTATATTTTGTGGTTTTGCCTGTGTATGTGCGTTGTTTTAGTTGTGTGGATTTCTCTTGCCAGTGTGCCAGTGTGTCTTATTTTAGTCTGTCTTTGTTCTTGTTGGTTTTTGTCTCAAACGCACAGTCAGAGCCAGATTCCACACAAGATGTCGCACACAACACAGGGGTGTGCGACCTTATGGTAAAGGTTCCTTAGCCACTTAGTCTCGTCACGATTGAAACACCTTCGCCACACAGAGCAAAATCCAATATAAATCCGAGTCAGCCGGACACTGCTTCCAATGTCGTTTCTACTGTTCCTACCAGTATGTGGCTCCTGCTCAGCTGGTTGCAGTTGGATTCATAGTATGCTCAACACTCCACCAACTCTGAGAATGTTGACATGGGCGTTGATCAAAAGGCTTTACAAGGGATGACCAGTAGGAAAACGATCCACCGCCACATGAATTCACTGGGTGCCTTGTGGAGAAAAAAGAGAAGAAAACAAAAAGGGACAGCTTCCGTCGGACTGGCAACGCGGACCAGCTTTCGGCCAGGCTATCAAGAAGTTCCGCGAAGCCAATTGCAAAAGACCGCGAATCGTACCTTGGATGCAGCAAAAGTCATGCATGAGTGCCCTTTGTTTCTGTTGTTTGAATAAAGGGAAACCAAAAGAAAACCTCCAACTTGTGATTCCTAAAAACTAACCCACCTGCATAGCTAAAACACTGTCAACCAAATCATAGCTTGGATTGCTTTGTGTAGCGCTCAGGGCATTGATTTCTCGAAGACATCGCTGGGATCGCACCCTTTTTATCAGATCCGAAGTTTGGCGGTTCGGACCGAAAGCTACTCCATCCGGTGTTTCAAGTCTTCGACTTCTGCTTGGGCTTCCTTGCAACTTCTTTGGTCAGACGCTGGTTGCCGGTGTTCGACCCTAATCTGCGTGTTGGCCAAGGATTGCATTTGACCAAGGTGATGTGAAACTATTCTTTTGGAGAGTGAGTAGTGGAAACAAGATTGAACTGCATCTGGGGTTAGCTTTGACGTGCATTATGCTAGGGTAAGAAAACACTTGGATGGGTTCTGCAGATACATGGAGGTCTGTGAGGTTTCGCAAGTCGGTCTTTGGTGGGCCAGTTGTTGAAGTTTTAGGTCGCCAGATTCTGTCGGGAAGTGTCCTGCTCTCACACGGTTCGTCCGCATGCCCAGGTGCCAAAAAGCGCAACTTGGCGATGCGTGGGAGGTTTCGGGCCTGCCGACCTCAAAGGGAAAATAGAACATGTTAACATGTCCTGATTTCTAGGGGGTCATTCCCCCGATCAGCAGTCCAGGCTGTCAAAGAACACTTACGCGCTTCAAACAATTCTTCAAAAATTGGCATGGAATCCAACAAAGGTGTGCCCAAGATGAGATTCCGCAAATGCGTGTTCCTTCGGAGTTAGTACTCTTCAAAAAGGGCTGAGTAAGCTTTGAGGGTGGCAACCAAACGTAATTGTGACCCATTAGCGCATTGTTGCGGGATTTAAGAGAAGCGGCATGAAGCGGCGGGGGGGGAAGCGTTTGGGTCCGACTGCCCTGACGAGTTAGAAGTCCCGGGGTTGTTAGAGCACGGGCCTCGAGTGTGCCCAACTAGCCGACGTATAACCTATAATCATTTGGGGGCCACAAATAGTGAAAGAGATCAATCACCCTTGTTCCCTTCTGAAAGACATGACGAAGACACGCTAGGTGTACCAATTGCTGCTCCGATCTGAGGCATGTTGATTGCGAACCTGGCCCTGTAAAGCATGGACATTGCCAGTGCAATGCAGCGAATTCGCCATCGACATCAGATGTGATGCATGCACTTGCATGCTCTTACAGAATTGAACATGGTTAAACACAAGTCATATTGAAGGTTTGTGTTGTTGGGCAATGTACGTATTTGTTGACAGATGTTATTGTAGATATTCTTTGTTCGAATAATTAGGTATTGATTCCTCCCCGTATGAACAACGATTGAAATTATTGATATTTTTTTCTTTATATATATTATTTTTGAATATATAAATATGTTAAGAATTAATATATATAACATGATATTCTTAAAATTGATATTAGGCGTATGTCCCGTGTATTGGTAAGCCGTTATAGAGATATATTGTGAATTTTAATATTTATGGTTAATGAATATTTTTTTTGTGTTTATATATAAAAAAAACATGTAATTGTTTTTTGTATAGTTTGGAAGATTGTTAAATTTTGCTAAAAGTTTAAGGGGTTTTTTGGTGTATTTTTTTTAAAAAAAACATATTTATTTGGGTTGTTCGGCGATATGGTTTATTTTTGTTTTTTATATATTTATATTTATTTATTTTATGATGGTTGTTTTTTTATGTTTAGTTTTGTGTATTTTTGTATTGGTGTTTGTGTTTTTTTGTTTTTATTTGTTTGTTTGTGTTTTTTGTTTTTTGGGTTGTTTTGATTTATTTTTGTTTGTTTTTATATATTTATATTTATTTTTATTTTTTATTTATTTGTATGTATTTTTGAATTTCTTTATTTATTTATATTTATATTTGTTTAGTTGATAATATTTATCTATTTTTGTTGTTATTTTATATATTTTTTGTTTGTTTTTATGGTCTGATGAATAAAAATGGTTTATTTCCGCAAGCCCATATGTTATATCCCCCCCTTTTTTAGTTCCATCTTATTTGTTTACTTATTCTCTCCTCTTTTTCTCTTTTTCTTTATTCTCTCTTTGTCTATCTCTTTCTCTTTCTTTCTCTTTTTCTTTTTTTTTTCGAAAAATATATATTTTTCTTTCCCTTTATTTTTTTCTTTTTTCTTTTATATTTTTTTTTCTTGTTTTTTTTTCTCTTTTTTCTTTGATTTTTTGGTTTATATTAACATTAATAAAATTAACGGATTTTCTTTAATATATTATAAAATATATTATGTATTAATATTATTTTATATTATTTTATATTATTATTTATATTATTATTATAATTCATAAATATTAATATTAATATTATAATTTATATAATTAAGTAATATTATTCTTACAATTAAATAGTATATTAATATTATTAGTAATATTTATTATTATTATATATATTATATTAGTTTTATTATATAAATTATATTTATTATGTAATTATATATATTATATATATTATTTTATATTATATTTAATCGAATTATAAATACATATTATAATTAAATAATAAATTTATTTTACTAAAATTATTATTATAAATGTGTTAAATTAATATATTATTATTCTCATTAATATTAATATTATTACTAATATTATTACTTTTATAATTATTATTATGTTTATATTATTACTATTATTATTATAACTACTACAACATATATCATTCTAAATTTGCAATTAATATTATTTTACACTTTATAAAACTATATTTACAAAATATATTCGTATAATAAATATATTTTACTAAAACTAATTATTACCTTTACTATTAATATTATTATTCTTACTACGATTACTATTACTTATTATTAACCAATACTACTATTATTACTATTACTACAACTATTATTATTCTTATTACTATTATTCCTATTAATACTACCACAATATTACTATTAATACTAATACTTCGACAACTACTATTTCCACGAATTATATCCTTAAATCATACCCCAAATTATACCCACGAACATACCTACGAATCATATCCCATACTCAAAATTTCCTACCCAAACCCCATAAAAAACAAACACCCATTTCTTTATATAAATAATTTGTATTTATTTTATTATTCAATAAATTTCAATATTCAAAATATATTATATATATAATTTAATATATTATTTATATATTTAAATTTATTTAAATATATATTATATTTTCTTAATACAAATAATATAATATTCTTTATTTTTTAAAAATAAATATTATTTTTATATTTTTATAAAAAATAAATCATGTTTAATAATATTAATAATATATTTTAATATTAATAATTAAACATATATTTTAAACCAAATTATATTATTCCTATATTTTATTTATTTAATGGTTATTATTATGTTTTAATTTTATATTTTAATATTATTAATATAATTATATAATTTATTTCAAAATATATAAATATATATTTATTATAAATTAAAAATATTAATTCAATATATATCTTTTTCCCAAAATCAAAATATATAATTAAATTAATTTAATTTTATCAAATATATTTATATTATATTTAAATAATTATATATTCAATTTATTATTCCAAATAAAACCGAATTTGATTTAGTATTTCATTTCCTTGTTAAATATATATACGATTTGTATAGCAAATTTTCGGAATATTATAATTATATGTTATGTTAATCAAATATAATCATCAACATGAGCTTATGTACAAAATTGGTTCGCTATGTTCGACAAATTTGTCTCCCAAAATTGGCCATGGCATTGACAAAGGCGCCCTAAGCTCTCGCCACTTGAGAACAGGGTGAACGAAAACGGTAACGCGTGCGGAATGACATGCAGGGGGGGTGTCCCGTTTTCAATTACTAATCAATCCTTTCATGCCAAAGGGCCCGGGGCCCCCCTAGTAATTGATATATCACAGCGGTCGGGAAGTTGCTGCCCCTACACTTGCTAAAGGGTGATTTATGTCCGGAACCAGCAAAAGGAATACCCAATGGGTTGCTGTGCAAACAAAGGACCATCGTTCATCACGTTAGCCATCATCCTGTGCGGCCTGCGGTTCTTTTTGTTCCTTCCGCCACGCAGGGACAGAGTGTCCCTGTTCATGACCTTCCCTGGGCCCTTTAGGCCTGTGCCCCATAAAGGTTTGGAGGCCAGGGTGAGCTAAACAACTAGGTTAAACAACTGCCATCAAAAGGCGACATGGCATCTGGCAACTGCGCGTTGCCATTTCTCAATCCACCTGCTCCAACTTCGTCCTCTTGCTTGAGCTTGCACCCTGTGGATAGACCTGCTCGACACTTTCCTTCCTCAATGAAAGCTCCAACCGGGGGTCATGGTCGAACCTCACCCCCACCCGGCCGTTCTCCGGATACACCTCGATGATGCGCCCGGTTTTGCCGATCAACTCCTGTCGCGTCTGCAGGGAGCACACACGCACGGCCCTGCCCAGAATGCCGTCATCCAGCTCGTCCATCTCGCTAGCATCGCTAGCAATGCCGGTCTCGCTGCCACTGATGCCTTCCGAGCCCTCGTCGTCGTCTCCAAAGAACCCCGCATTGTGGAGGTTCCGGAAAATCGCGTCCATGCCTGCAGCACCAGCAAGCCCGTCGTTTTCCTGGAACTCGGCCAAGTCATTAAGCATGCGGCCGCTCTCTTGGAGAGCGGCTTGCGCGGCAGGGCCCAAGTTGGCATTCGTGAGCGAGATGCGAAACTTGCCTGAGAAACTGGTAAAACCACTGAGGCAGAACTCCAAGTTTGAAAATCGAGGCTTTTCAAAGAATCAAGCACAACAAGAGACCAATCCCCAGTAAGAGAGCGACCAAGCTGCTGGGCTGCTGGTTTTCGGGCAAGTTGAACTCTTGGTGGGAGCCATGCCCATGCTTTAGCAGTGTCAGCTCCTGTTGCAAGTTGCACATGTCGAACACTGTTTGGCCTTGCTTCCCCCAAAGTTAACTTCCTTCTAAGTGAAGTACACGAACCAGCCGTTCAAAACCCTCAATCACCAATCCAAACCACCAACTAAGGGTTTTCTGAAGGGATGCTCACCCCAAAAAAAAAACAAAAACTCAGCCCGATTCGATGCCCAAGCTTGAACCAAAGGCCACAACTTCTAATTCAAAGCGACCGAATGCCTGGGCTCCTGGAGGTCGTAGCAGGCGTCCAGGACCAGATCCTCCACCCGCGGCAGATACAAGCTCAGCTTCTCAGTGCAGTCCCCGCGCCGGAAGGTGAACCTCTTGCAGCTCGGCAGAAAGAGCTTCGGCAGCGCCTCCCAAAAAGTCCGACACCCAAACGAAGAAATAACAGCTGAACACAGCTGCCCAAGGCTGCAAGTCACGTGTACAAGGGGTGGGTATTCTTCATGGTGGGGTTGGCTCAGTATCAAGCCTGGAATCTTGGAAGCCCAACATGGCCATGGTGTTCTGTGGGCTTGTACATCCAGAAACCGCCAAGAAGTTACTGCCCGACTTCAGTTGATCAGTTGAAGAAGTTCAAATTGCCGAGGGCTAAACATTGAAACAAAGGCACAGCTTGAACCAGTTGTGTGAACTACAGTGTCGCTCCTGGGTCAGCTTTGTATGACTTTTTGATGAGATGCAGGAAGCACCGGCATTGGAATCAAACACCATGTGAAACTTCGAACGGCAGGCGTGTCTGATTTGAGGGGATGATCCTAGATGAAATTACTAAAGGGAGGCCAGCTCCTCATATATTTGGCTCACGCCTCCCTCAAATGCTAACACATCTCTGAGCTCGTCCCGAACTAAGCGCACGCATTGTCATTGTGTTATCCTTTGAAAACCAACCCAACAAATGACCCTCGTAAAAAGCGGGTGAGCGCTCCCAGCTCGTTCCTGGTCGTGCCAGTACTTGTGCGCAAAGAACTCTTCCAAGCGAGGGCACTGCAGCAGCGACCGGGCGAAGTTCTTCTCCGGGGGGCTGTGGTTCTCCATGACCAGCCTAGAGCTAAATGGCGATGCATTTTCATCAGGGATGGTAGACATCATTTGGGTGTACCAACCACTTTTAGGGTGGTTCCCTGATAACATCTGTGGCCAAATGAAATGGGTTTGTGGTTGTTGGAGGGGACAGTGATCCCCAATAGTTGAAGCATGATGTTCGGGTCTCCTTTTGGTGTCCCTTTCAAACCACAAAAAAGGGTGCGGTACCCACAAACAAAAAGACACGCCCAAGTAGGTGCGCTTGTTTCTTGAGGTGACTCCTTTTTCAGGTTGGTTCAAAAACCTTGTGCTTGCCCTCTGGAGAACTGAACGTCGCACTCCAGGCGAACATGGAACCAACAAAAGCACGGCGTGAGTCTCCTTTTGTAGAACCCCCCAAAATCGGCCATGCTCTGGGGAGAGTCTATTAATTCAGCACCTAGCAGCTCTCTGAGCTGCGGCAGCTGGACGCTCCACTTGCCGTCTTGGACCTGAGGGACCACGCAACCGGCCGCCAAACGCTCATCTTTCAGTCTCAAGAAGCCAACACGAAGTTCGATAGGAAACACTTATTTCTGGTGGGTATTTGGCGAATCTCCTGCAGAATTTCCGGTCAACTGTAAGGTGTTTCGTGTAGAATTTCCTGTAGTTCACTCTCATTTTATTCCTATTCCTCTTCGCAAAGGCTTCTCAGTGAATGAGAGCAAAAGATGGCCCGTTCCTTTCCTGCTCCAGGCTACACAAACTGATATGACGGAGACGCACGGACGACAGGAATGGAGCTCTTCTCTTATTACATTTGTGCCCCAGTGGTAACCTGCCCCTTTTTCGCACGAACGTACTTCTAATGGTTTAGGGCTAACACTGGTTTCAAAAGGCCCTTCCCCAAACACTGGGGCGCTTGGATTAAGTGTTGACGCAGGCCCTCACTGTTACCCTCAGCAACTGGAAAGGACTGGCAAGCAAATCCCAGTTTCTGAAAGTGGCAACTTTTTTCTTTTTTTCCCCGGCGCTCCTGCGGGTCTACCAGCCGTAGCCGGCGAAGAGACAGGCACGGCCTCAGCTCGAAGTTCTTCACCAGCATGTGGTGCACATGCAGAGACTCCAGGCGTGGCAACGTCGCCATCTGCTCTGAGAACTGCGAGAAGTCGAAGTGCGGATCCGACTCATCCCAGAAAGGTACAGGATACAAATGCAGATTCTCGATGCTTTGCGAGTGCTTCAGCTGCTTCAGCACCTTCTCAAAGGTGGCGGGGGTTTGTCCAGCAGCACTGCTCAGGATGAAGAGCGTGGACTTGCTCTCCAGGAAGAGCTTCCCGCGCTTCTCTATCTCCGTTTCGACTGGATTCGGAAAGCACATGGAACCCTTCAGCATCTCGTGGAGTTCGTCTGCCAGGGCCGCATCCGTGGCATTGCTCCGATCTGCGCCAGGGCCGCCATAGCCCCCAAGCCCAAAAGGATTCAACACACAGTGGCTCGTCATCTGGGCCACTGAGCTTAAGAGCCAGGAATCCCAGGCGCCGAACATCCAGCTCACAAAGGGGAAGTGTATGTGTGTGTGTGTGTGTGTGTTTGTGTCCCATCGGGACTCCGTCGGCAAAACAACTTCCAATGGTTCAAAGTCAAAGATAATGGTGTGCCCAAGCAACGTGCCTTGCCTCCACCCCCCTCATGTTGTTATCATTGTGCTGCAGCCAAGGCCGTGCCCGAAGGCCCCTGCCTCCAAACAGCAACTAATTCATGTCGGAAGGTCACACTTTGGTCGTGTTGGTTCGTAATTTCCGTACAGGAGACAAACTTGCTTCCGGCCAAAGCTGAAGTAGCAAAGGCTTCCTCAAGACAAGCAAGCATATGAAACCCTGCAACTGCAATGCTGCGGTGCCCACACACACATCCACAACCATCCACGCGCACAACATCCACGCGCATGCGCAAACACAGAGACACCCCCACACGCACACACATACACAAACACAAACACAAACACAAACACAAACACAAACACACACACACACACACACACACACACACACACACACACACACACACACACACACACACACACACACACACGCACACGCACACGCACACACACGCACACGCACACACACACACACACACACACACACACACACACACACACACACACACACACACACACACACACACACACACACACACACACACACACACACACACACACCACACCACACCACACACACACACACCACACACCACACACCACACACCACAACCACACACCACACAACACACCACAACCACAACACACACACACACAACACACAACACACAACACACAACACACAACACACAACACACAACACACAACACACAACACACAACACACAACACACAACACACTACACACAACACACAACACACAACACACAACACACAACACACAACACACAACACACAACACACAACACACAACACACAACACACAACACACAACACACAACACACAACACACAACACACAACACACAACACACAACACACAACACACAACACCCAACACACAACACACAACACACAACACACAACACACAACACACAACACACAACACACAACACACAACACACAACACACAACACACAACACACAACACACAACACACAACACACAACACACAACACACAACACACAACACACATCACACACACACAACACACACACACAACACACAACACACAACACACAACACACAACACACAACACACAACACACAACACACAACACACAACACACAACACACAACACACAACACACAACACACACAGACACACACAGACACACACACACAACACACACACACACAACACACCACGCACCACGCACCACGCACCACGCACCACGCACCACGCACCACTCACCACACACCACGCACCACGCACCGTGCACCGTGCACCGTACACCACGCACCATGCGCACACAACCGCGCATGCGCACGCGCGCACCCGCACGCACGCACACACGCATACAAGAACACCCACACCCACAAACCCATTCGCACACGTCCACACACATCCTCACACTGAAAAATCACACATATCCCAACACACGCACTTCGACAGCCCAACTCTTCGTGTTCAATACCCTAACAATTGCAAAAAACAGGCTCCTGGCACGTGTAATTATTCCAGCTCAGTTTCATCCTGAAAACGTTTGAGCTCAGTCAAGCGCCGATCGGTCAACTCCGGAACATTGAGGCAACTACCAGGTAGCACACTCGTAACCCAGCATATTCCATCATATTTTCTCACCTCTACTCACATTACAGCACAGTGACAAAAACACACATCACAACAGCAAATGTTCAACTGGACTCTCGGTCTACCACTTTGACTTAAGTAGCTGCCCAAGAAATATCCAGCGCCGCAAGCACACGCAGGGAACTCTTACAAAGTATGCATAACATTGTGTAAATATATCCGTATATGTGTGTACATATATATATATATATATGTGTGTGTATTTGTGTAATTCCATATGTATGGAACACATCATCAGGATCTCTTTTCTCCTTTGCTGGGTGCTGCGTCGATAGCAAAGAAATGTCGCAGGTGAGCTCCTTGCCAATCTTGACGCGGAAGCGTACCTTGAAACGGACGACCAAGGCTATGGCAACCTGACAGAACAAAGCATGTGGGTATGTCTTTTTTTTTGGGGCCCCCAACAATATAATAACAATAACATGAATTGGTGGTTTACTTTAATTAGTTCTCCTTGAAAGGAACCCAACAAATTATAGCTTACCTCATGCCGAAAGACAATGGTCAACCCAATCGAAACCGGGAGACATGAAGCACGCCCTTCCCAAAGTCAAAGTCGTGCTTTTACCATTGAGAACCTTGCTCTCCGTTGGCTTCCTAAATCTTTAGAAAGCTCGAAGGCCTTGCTCTTGGAATCAGACCAACCAGGACCAGCCTTGGGCTCTTGGTCTTCGCAGGCTGCGTGTTCAACGCAGTAATTTCCTTGTGCCAAGCTGACTTGGCCATCTTAGGCTGGCGCCTCCCGAAACAAATTCAAGGCTTGCCGGACATGCGGCAGCAAGTATATTTGAGGGTACCCGTTTTGGGGGCTGCTTAAAGGGGAAACCGAAAGGAAAGCCAACCCATTTTGTGGGTCCCCGATGTTGACACATACCCACCTGCGGCAAAGGTATGCCACATCCCTGGTTGATCTTCCAAGCAAAGAATATGCGAGCCGAAAGCTAACGAACCCTGATTTCAAGAGGACGCCCTTTGGAATGCAAAGGTTCAAAGGCTTCTCGCTCATGTTGGTTTCGGCCCCCGTTTTCCCATCTCTCCCTCGCCTGCGGGAAGCGAAGGTGAAACTGCCACATGGCCCCCACCTTGGCTTTCGCAGGTCGTTTCCCATTCAGGTGGTGCCTAATGAATACCCCAAAACAAGGCCCTTAGTGTGATTGCAATGAGCCATGAGACAGTTGGGGTCCTGAGATTTTTCTGAGACCAGGGTCTGTCGAATTGGTCTTGGAAAACTTTAAAAGACGTAAACAGACTCAACAGACACTTCCCTCATTTAACACTCATAGCTATTAGCCTCTGGGTGTATCACAATCGGGGGGCCCCCAAATAAGATGTTCCTTTCGGTAAGCCAACCTTACTTAAAGGGGCATGGTTCTTAGTAAGTGGGTAATAACCATGGTTGCGGCTTACTTTGCCATGAGCATAAGTCTCCTAAGTGCGTGTTAACCGGGCTTACTAAACACTTGCTAAGTAAGCCGAAAACACCAACCCATCCCACTTGACGAACACTTATTAACTCTAAGTTTCTGATTGGGCATCGAGTTTTTGCCAACTTTTGACAACATATTAGCAATTAGCAAACCTGTCGGAGCCACAGAGTGAAGGATCCCGTACATATCAAACCACCAAAAGGTTCCATTACCCTACTCTTCGACACACCTCCTTTGTAGAGGACCTGCAGAAACCGGGTGCCATGCTAATCCTCACTTGCCCAAAGGCCCTGGAAATCCCGGTTACCCTTTTGGGACCTTTGCCTTGACTAAAAGTGGACCAACTATGGAACACCAAAAGTCAAAGGTGGATTTGCTTTGGACGACTGAGAACTTGGGGAGTTCGTGGTAACAATGTCCAGTCAGCCTCAGGGCCCAGCACAGGATAAGCACGGAGCTCCAGTGACGTAGAGTTGCAGGTCCCCGCGGGCATCTGGCCATTGCCCCTGGCTTGTTGGCGGTCACCATGGCAGGTTTGCACGTGAAATCCTCTAAAGGGAACGCCGAAAAAGGTGGGTTTCCTTTTAATTTCCCTTGGTTTTCCCTTGGTATTCCGTTGGTTTCTCTTTGGTATTCCTTGGTTCCAGCTGCAGGGTTTACATTGACCTCAGCCGGGGGAGATAAAGGTGGAGTAAGGCCATGGGCCCGCGTGCAACTCTCGCCTGGCTAGGGCACAACTGGGCGATGTCCTGAGCACATCGCAGGTTCTTTCAGCCGCTCTTCAGGACAACTCCGCAGGATGGAGTTCAACACGAGCAATTGTGAGACATGCAAAGGCCCTCGTGAAATCTCCCGAGAATCAAACATGCAACACTACCTTGTTGCAAACCATCTAACGTGATGCCTCACAAACACGGGACAATTAGGGAGCAATACCCATCCCCTTTTTGTTGGGAAGTTGGGCGGCCTATGCCACCGACAAACAATATATTCTACTGAGGCCATCTGGGGCCCTTTTCAGCAAGCAACCACAAGCCGAAACCAACCATTTGGACATGCCGCATCCCTGGCTCCCTGCGACGCGCGGAGTCCTCGCAAAGCTTGGCCAAGAGCTGGTTCTCGCTGCACAAGCTCCGGTCCACCAATGCGTTGCACCTTTGCACCCCCCCTTGCAAGAGACCACTGCTGTATCAATCGGACACTTATTGGGCGTTTGCCTCAGCCACGAGAATGGAAAGGATGAGCATGATTCGAAACAAGCTTTGCTTGGTCGCTCGTTGCATTTCAAAGTTGAAGGGGCGCTGAGCTGATGCTGATTGCACTCCGTCTCTCTCTCTCTCTCTACCGTTGCATCCATGACTGGATTGCACTCCGTCACTACAGCAGTTTGCCTGAGCACGCCGCGGCAAAGTGGTTGCACGAATCCAGTCCTGGCCGGAAACAAGAGGTGTGCCGATGCATCAACGACCACGTGCATAGGGCATTTGCGTTAATAGCACAATGTGCTATTTTGCATACATCCACATGACTTTTGACAGGCTAGCTTTAAACCATACGAGCTCTGCAAAGAGATGCTCTTCCTATGTGCTCAACGGCAATATATCATTGGCTCAGTGACATCAAGCGTCCTCTGGCCATTTGCAGATCCCCCAACCTACGTGGCCATTGTCCCATGGCTTCTGCTTCAGCATGACACCTGAATACGCCCAGCAGCGGTCTCCTCTTTGGGCCGCCAGCCCTGGTAGCCATTCTGCTGGAAGCGACCACCTGAAACCTGACT